CAGCAATTAACCACTAAGAAGAATATATGCAGTGTATTATTTGTTGAAACTGTCCTTCCGATTTGATTTGAAACTGTCTCATTGCTATTTGTTTGTCAATAAAACTTTGAAAAAAAAAAAAAGTGTAAGGACTGTTTTGTTGTGGAAAAAAACCAGAAAAAATATATAGATATATATGTATACACAAGAGAGTTAGGATAGATACATAGTTACTTTCTCTTAGTTCACTGAGAATAAAAGTTTGTACTACTGTTGTTTAGATAAGATATCATGTCTGTATGTTGTCCTCTGAATAACTACTATGAAGACAATATGCAATGTATTAATTATTGTAACCATCCTACTAACCTGTTTTGAAATTGCTTCACTGCTATTTTATCTTTTGTTCTCATCAAAATGAATTTTAAAAAAATTAAAAATAAAGAAATTCAGAACATTGGGGATTAAAAAGCAATACTACTAAAATTAATAAGACATCATTCATATATAGTACAATCTCAAGCACATAACATATAAAACTTCCTATTTCCTTAAGAGAATAAAACAACTTCAGTATAATTTATGTTTACTATAAACCTTTGAAAATGTTAACATCACCAATATTGATATGTATATATTACTACAGCAGTAACCTATCATCAACATTTTGAATGTTTACTGGAATTTCTATACTTTATCACTGCATGACTGATCATAATAAAAACATGCTCACTGCAAACAAAAGTGTAGTAAACTCTTGTGCTCACTTACCTTTGCAATAATGACTTCTTTCTTCAAAATCTTCATAGCATAATATTTCCCACTTGCTTTCTCTCGAACCAAAATAACTTTCCCAAAAGTGCCTTTACCTAGCAGTTTCAAATAGTCAAAATCATTCATTGTCTGAAAAACATAAATTAGAAGATCTAATATAAATGACATATTTGATATTATTTACTGGTAGCATGTATGTAGCTAATTCAATGTCCACTCAAAAATAAATTTTATGATCTTTTTTATGTATTTGGTACAGGGTCTCATTACGCAGCCCGGACTCATAATGATCCTCCTGCTTTTAGCCTTCCTAGCATGGCATGTGGTGGTAGCGATCAGGTGCCGGGGATCGAACCCAGACCCTGTGCTTGCCTAAGCAGGTGCTTAGTCCACTGAGCTATCTTGCTGGCCCAAATTTTGTAATTTCTAAGCATGAATAAAGAATCAGATTGATAATGTCTCATCATTAATCAAGGATACTGAGAATAATTTAAATAGTTTCTATATAGAGGAGAAAATTATTTTGAATCTAGAATTTATTCCACAGCCAGTCGATTTATCAATCAAATGAAGGATCACAGTAAAAAAAAATCATTTTTACCGATTTCTAAGGACTTAGTGCTGCTAACCGCAGAACACTGTCTACTAAGCAAAAATGTTCCATGCAACATTTTCAAATATGCCTAAGGGAGCTATCCTTTTTTAAAAAAAAAACAAAAAAACAAGCTTTACTTCCTCCAGTATTGGGGAGTGAACTTGAGACCTTATACATATTATGCAAAACTTTATGTATTTATTTATTTATCTCGACATAGGGTTTTGCAAAGTTGCCCAGGCTGGCCTCAAATTTGCAATCTTCCTGCCTTAGCATCTTCAGTGGAGGAGCTATTTAAAGATGTATTCTAGCAGAACAAGGGTGGAATTCAAGAAAGAAAAAGATATGCTTATAAGAGTATGTTGAGCACAATCTTAGGGCTCAGGTTAAAAAAAAATCTAAGAAAGAAAGTAGTTGTAACTTCTAAAAAAACAACCAATACTATTTAGAACTAGAAGGCAGGTACCTCTAAGAATGTCTAACGAATCGTCCTGTTTTAAGTTGGGTGATTTCTGAGATTTTTCCAGGTAGACTACCACTTATTCTCTCCACTGCCCTCAATGCAGACTTCTGTTCTGCTTACCCATTCACAGCCTTCTACAAATTTCCAAAATTCCAAACCTGTTACTTTCTGAAGTGTAAACTCAGGTTAGAGATTTATGACTACCACAGCCAAAATTGGCATCACTCCCCAAATATGTGCGGAAGGCAGGATTTCTCAGGGTGGCCCATGCATCAGCTGAAGGCAGCCTTTGAGACCTCTGTGGCAGAACTGCCCACAAATAACAAAATCACGAGAAATAACACACTGCTGCTGCTGAGACAACAGACTTCAGGGACTCCGCTCAATAGCAATAAACAGATTAGAGACAATATTCCCATAACTAAGTCATAATACCATTATATTGCTTGCAGTTTCATATAGGCAATACTTTTCTTTTTTCTTTTAAAAGTACTAGAAAATAATACTATGTCTTATTACTAAATATCATAGAAAATAAAACTGAATCCTTGTGGGTAAAAATTACAAGGTAATTTTTAAACTTCATGACATTTTCAGATGAAAAGCAACATAATTGTAAGATATTATGTTCCCAAAGATTCCAATTCTTAGGGACAATGAAGTTAGAAATATATGACAGCTTTAACTCTTTAATTTCAAAGTTTCTGTCAATTGTCATAATTTTAAAAAGGGAAATTAATCTTAGTTAAAAAGCATTCTACATGATAGTCAAAGAGATTTCACATCTATTTTGACAAAAGTTCAGAAAATTAAAATGCTATCTTTAATATTAATGTTCCTAAGAGTATACACAATAATTATCTAGTCCTTACAAATGAAATATAATCTATTATAAAATGTTTTTCTCTTCTGGTTAATGTTAAAGGGAAAAGATAGAAGACTACAGTAAAAAGTGGATGTATGGATATTCTTTAGAAAAATTAATTCTCCAAAACCCCATCCTAATAATATAGCAGGGAAATAATCTACACTGTTATACTGTTTCTTTTGCCTATTAATGTGGCTGCTTTAGGTTAAGAGATCATAGGTAACAAGTTTTTAATATAGTCAAATCACACATACCTAGAAGGTAAGGAATAAAGACTGTGAGTCTACAAGTATAAAGGGCCAATGAGTCCGGCCATGGTGGAGGCTGAAAACTAGAGGATCACTACAAGTCTGATCTGAGTTGTGAGACTATGTACCAAATACACAAATGAAAAAAACAAAAACAAGTATAAGGCAGAGAAAGACTATTGTGAGGTTTACCTTCTGCCCACATCCTGCAGTGCTGCTCACGAGGAAAAGATGAGGCTAATCCTTCAACGGCACCGGGCCATCTCGGCTGCCAGGGAGGACGGCTGAGGACAGAGTCCTGGACGTCACCTCACTCAGACCACGCAGCCACTCCACTCCGTCAACTACACCCCTAGCCCACTCCTCCAACATGGGTTCTGCCACTCCTTCCTCTCCAGGAGGTGGGTGCCAGTGTGCGACCCTATGATGTTAGCAGTCCTTCCACCTCCCTCTCTCTTTCTCTATACTCCAGCCACTGCTGTTGCCAATATGGAAAGGCCAGGCCGGAGGTGATCAAATCAAATTCCAAGTATCAGAGTCAGACCTTCTACGAATACAAAAAGATTGTTTATAGTTTAAATCACTAATCAGCTGGGCCCAGAAAGGTCTGACCAGAAGTTAAAAATTAGGCTTTGATTTTTCAATAGCTTTTTATCCTCCTATACTGTGCTGCCTCAAATTCCGCCAGGGTGGTCGCTAAGACTGACAGCTTGGCAGGCCAAGAATAGGTACTTGAATCAAATTGCTCTGAAATACCATCTTTTATAAATCTTAACTTAAATCTGCCTGCCAAGTCCTCATCTCATTTCTCTACCAATTTATCGTTTCTTCCCCAAAAGTTTTAGCCAGCAGTGCTGATTCTACAGCAGTATTGCAAAGTTACAGTAAATAATCACTTGCCAGTTCCAAGAGACAGAGATCAAGACCACTTTCAGCACAGCAACCATAATCAATAAACACAAGCTATTTTCTTAATCCTATTGCCTATTTTTGAAATGCGAAGAAAATGTGCCCTGTAAATTATGACGATGTGGTTGTGTTTTAATCTGTCACAAGATTAAAAAAGTATGAACCTGTTCAATTCTTTGCCTGATAACTAGCAGAGAAGTCAATTCGCTTCACAGAAGTCACAGTAATATTTTGCCATGTTTAACTAAGTCATTATATCTATGAAATAATAGGACGTGGTACAAATGTTACTTTTCTATACTCTTTCTTTTAAAGCTGCTTTAAATTCCTTGATTTAAAATGAAATGAAATAAAGAACAATGGAAATCAAATATGGGAAGATAATGAGCCCCAGATAAATTAAAAATATTTCTTTCAATTCTTTTTTCATTTTGGAGACTCAGTTTTTTTGTTTATTTGTTTGGTTGTTTAATTTTATGTATTTGGTACAGAGTCTCTCTATGATCCTCCTGTTTCAGCCTCCCCAGCACTGGGATTATAGGCGTGTGCTAGCACACCCGGTCTTGGTGGCCGGCTTGGGCGTGCCCCAGGCCAGGCCAGCAAGGCATGTGGTACCAGGGATGAACCCCAGGTCCTTAAGCTTGCCTAGGCAGGCGCTTATATCACTGAGCTATCTCCATGGCCCCTGGAGATTCAGTTTTCATAAAGAATTCTAAGACAATCTGTTTTTGAAAGATAAAATCTTCATGTGGCACAGCAGGACAGTAGCTGACACTAACGGGTAATCTGTGGTGCATAAGAATTGCATGAGCACTGACACACTCAACACAGTGCCTCGCTTAAGCCCTCACAGCCATGAACGAAGGGCCACTCCTCTCCCTTTTTCATAGGTGAGGGACCTGAGTGATGAAGTCACCCTTCCCATCATCACACATACAAAACTAGGACTCTAATCCAGGCACAACTCTGAGGTCCCCACTTTCTACTACTATTTCATAATATTAACATTCTGTGGATTTTTTGAAGAGTGTCTATTATAAGACATAATTAACTAATATACAAGCACTGCATTAAGTTCAATAGATCTCTATAGTACTTTCAGAAACACTGTAATCATGAACACAATCTGTATAATTTTATTTCTAACATAACATAGTTATAATCATAGAAATTATAGATTTGTATGTATGAACCAAGAAAAAGAAATAAGCTGTACATTGCAGGTATAAAGTGTATAATTACAAGATCATCCATGCTTGCTTAAACATTCAACTCCTCTGAGAATCCAATGATAACTGTATTTCGAGACAGGGTCTCCTTAAGCCACAAAGCTGCTCAAACTGTACTTAAACTTGCAACTTTTCTGTCTCAGCTTCCCACACTGATGGGATTACAGGAATGGGCCACCATGCCCAGCTAGGTGACTCACTTATAAAATAGAGTAAGAATAGCACCTACCACAGATAATTTTTATGTGGACTAAGTGAGGTAATACATACAAAAGTACTGCTCAGGATGTACTGCAAAATAAATGCTTAAAAACGATAATTAGTGATGGGGACGAATTATAAGAAGATTCACACTGATGACTGTGAAAATAGGAAAATCAGTATGCCACTATAATTACTTATAAACAACCTTAATAGAAAAAATCTCTGGCAAGCGCAGGGTCCTGACTTCAATCCCTGGTAACCGCCCCCCCCCCAAAAAAAAAGAATAAAAAAAAAACCCTTTTATGCTTTTCCATTTTCATATATCTTAAAATTTTGTCTCTTTATTCAAATTTTTCTGACAAATTTCCATATTCATTTCAAATTTCTTCTATTAGACATAGCACTTCCTCATTTTTAACTTCTTTCTCAACAGTATCTTACTAACCTTTTAAGGAGATTTTTTAGAAATTATAGTGAATTTAATATGGTAGAGCTGGTACAGCTTAGATCTGAACTGGACAAGCTCTCATTCAAATGCAGACATTAATTGTGACCTATTTTAAGCTTCCCAGTGCAGTCGCATGCTGAGTCCCTGTGTGCCTACATGGACACACCTATGAGAAGAGCTTTCCTATCTATGACTGGGAAGTTAAGTGAGCTTTTCTTTCTGACTGAATAACAAGGTGAGTTAAGGCACCTTTAGTAATACTTGTTTTAACAAAAAAAAAGAAGATAAACTTTCAAAGAAGATAGCAAAGGTATGCAAACACTTGACCAACATCAAGCATAAATTATCTTACTAAAATTAAAAACTTAAGAGAACACTTGTGTAAGCTGTGAGGTAGAAATTCACTTAGTTCACACATTTAGCATGTAGAAGAGGGAAGTTTTGAACTCAGGAATCCAACTCCAGAAAGTTTTTAACCACTGTGCTAACCCACATTTGGGGCTTCTCAGCATACAGCTCAGTGGCAGCGTTTGTCTAGCACTGCATGGTCCTGGATTTGATCCCAACAATGCCAAAACAAGACAAAAAATTCCAGAAATCAAATTTTATGCCACTACTATGAATACTTATGTTTTCCTACATGAAGATTCGCCTCTCTCCCCATTTTTTGACACAGGGTCTCACTAAGTGGCCCAGGCTGGGCTTGACCTTGTGATCCTCCTGACTCGGCCTCCTGAGTAGCTAGGATCGTAACTGCATAGTACCAGTTTCATCTTATCTCTTTCCAACACCTCAATCTTGGTAAATCTAGAAATGATCATTTTTTTAACTAAGTTAGGGCAGCTGTTTTTTCAATTTTGTATAGCAATGAAACACATTATTTATATTTCCCATAAAAATGTTAAGTTTGCACTAGTGTTATGTAGCAGTAAAGAAAGGAAAAGCCCGTGTTCTTCACTGGCTCAAAACAGTCATTAAAAGAAAAGCTATTATTTCAACAACTGTTCACAGTTCCAGCTGACTTTAGTGAGGCTGGGGGGACCACACAGGACCACCACAGCCACTTCTGCTTTGGCTCACAGAAACAAAAATGCCAAACGGAGAAGAATCTAACCATTAAGAAAGTATTTTATCCCAAGTTTCTTAAACACAGAGGAAAATATATAATTTATGAAGATTTATGACTGCACATGAATCACAAGTCCCTCAAGAGTCCTGTCAACATTCAGTTTAAAAAGTGCTGGTCAATTATTTGGTTCTTTTTGTTTTTGGCGGAACCAGAGTTTGAACTCAGGCCCTTGTGCTTGCCAGGCAAGCGCTTATTCTACCGAGCTATCTCCCTGACCCAATTATTTGGTTCTAAAGAAGGTATTTCAGAGTCACTTGCATAGAAAACACCAATACATACTCACACCACAAGAAAACTGGCTCAGATACGACTGCAAACAAGAATTTTTGGCATATTTCCTCCAGACAAATAAGTGTTATGCTGAGTAGAATGAGTCTTCCCTTCCTACCTTTCTTTTATGATGGGTCGTAGAAGCATCCATTTCCTCCTCTCCGATGTTATCAATTTGTGAAGTTGGACTGCAATTCATTCTCTCCTCTTCTTGCCTCTGCAGTCTGTCTGCTACCGCCTGGATAGCTTCTGTCCATTCTTCCCTATTAGAGTAAAATGTGTCATTAACAGAAGATGAGGAGTGATTTTCAAAATTTTACCAATTGAGAAATCAACACAAATGTAGTTTTCTCAATAGCTCACCCTCCCTACCATCAATGCAAATAAAACATGAAGCACATCATTATTACTTAAAATAATGATACTCAATTGGGCTTATTAGAAGTGTAATACTCATTTAAGTTTATTACATACCATTTTAATTATTTTTAATTCCTTTATACATTTCTCCTTTCCCTCTAGGACTATTTTTATTCCACTAAAGAATGTTCAGGTAGTTAATACAGATGTGCTAACAACAACATTCACAGTTTCTTACTCGGAGAAAAATGACAATGCAGTGCTGGAGGCTCACCCCGAAGCCTATGAACTGAGATACTTTCTCAGCCCTTTACACATTTTTTTTATATTTTGAGAAGTGTCTTGGTAAGTTGTCCAGGCTGGGCTAGAAATTCCCATGTTCCTGCTTCAGATTCCCAAAGCACTGAGATACAGGAATGAATCAACATGTCCAGTTTGAAAATATTTAAAAATATTTTAAATTTTGTTCTTGGAAAAGTTGTTTACTTAGTGTTAACTTTCTCTCAGCACTTATGAAATATCATTTCATTAACCCCAATTATTACTGTATTCCATGCCAACTTTTCTGGACTGTATTAGCACCTTTTCAGTCTAACTGTTGCTCCCTTGAAAACAAGTATTGGGCTGGGGAGATGACTCAGTAGAATAAGCGCTTGCCTGGCAAGCACAAGGGCCTGAGTTCAATCCCTGCTTCTATTAAAACAAAAAAGAAAGAAAACATCTATTCTTTCCCAATAGCTTTGATTTTTAACAATCTAATAGGACTCTGCATTTTAGCTGTCAGGATTTATAAGACTTCCAACTCTGTAGTTTGATCTTTAGCCTGTTCAGAACATTTTCAATCACTATCATTTCGAATACTTCTTCCTCATTCTCTTAAGACCTTCTGAGACTCCAATTATGTATCTGGATGGTGCCTTACTATGTTATCTTTGTCTTATCTCTTAATTTTTATTTTCTATCCTTTATCTATGCATGTTTCATTTGGGATATTCTGCTCTGATCTGTCTTTCAATTCACTAATTTCCCCAAATGAGACGCAGCCTCCCCAGCACTTAGGATTACAGGTGTGTGCCACCACACTTAGTTTTGGTGGCTGATCTGGTACTGGGCCAGCATGGCATGCAGTGCCAGGGATCGAACCCAGGACCTAGTGCTTGCCAAGCAGGTGCTTAGACTGCCGAAGCTATCTCCTCTTCCCTAACATTTCTTTTCTCATGTTTTCCATCTGCCTGCTGAATTTCCTGGCCCCAATATATTCAAACATACTAATCTACAGTTCTTTTAATCATTGCTGGATAACTATTGGTGAAGCCCCATGAATCTGATTCTACTGCATTTTTTTTCCTCTGTGGTTTTGTTTTGTTTTGTGTTTTGTGTTTTATATTTTAGGGAAGGGTCTACAGGGTGTTCAGAGTGTCGTTACTAGATTGGACTCATAGTGATCTGCCTATTTACAGCCTCCCAAGAGTTGGGATTACAGGCGTGTGCCACCATGCCCAGTCTCTCCTCTGTGATTTTGGTCACACTGTCATAAATCTGTGCATGAAATTTTAGATGAGCCTTAGAAACTGTTCATAAAAAAATAAAATAAACAAAATCAGATAATCTGAGGCCTATTTAGGTTTAATCTTTTCTTAGAGAATACCTACAGTTGCTTTTAGAAGGTTCCTAAGAGACCAGTAAAACCAGATCAATCTAATCCAATTTCAGAATTGAAATAATTTAAGGCTGAACTTTTATTCTCCTAAAATACAACTATTTCTATCTTATCTTTTCTTATATGGCATAAGAAAAAGATCCTTTAAACTATAAACCCCTAAATGTAGTGGTTTACCATGCCTTTTCTTTGGCAGTATGGTTCATGTCTCTGGGAGCTAATCAAAACCTCAAATCTTAGATTCTCGTCCGGAAGCACCTGGCACAACAGGGGAAAAGAACACTGGAACTATGAAGTTTTAGTTCCCTGAAACTTCAGTTTTATTGTCTGTCTGATGTCTTTTTTTTTTTTTTTTTTGGGGGGGGGATGTAGTATTTTGATGTCCTTACTAGTAGTTATTTGAACTAATGACACAAATTGCCAATTCACCATAATTAAACTAACTTTTACCATTTTAAGGTAGTGAGAAACACCTACAAAAGCTTACTGGGCCAGAAAGCAACAAATCTGCAAATTCCTAATAATGAAGTGCAATCAATTTGTGACATAGAATGGGACTTTTATGAAACCAATTATTCTTTATATACTGCTTATGAAAACAATTTTAACAAACTTTCTAGTGAATATTTAATTAAACAGGCATGCTACTAAAATTCAAATATGCAATAGATAGGAAGGATTTGCAGTCTAGTAGGGGAAGCCCTGTTATTGCAAAATCAGTATGAGAAAGCGTTAAACATAAAATTAGACAAGCCTCCACTGAGGACAATAGTCCTCTAAGAAAAACAATAGCACGTTTGTGGTAACAGCAAAATGACTGCTTGAAGAAGATGCACATGACAAATTAGTGATTATCAACATGAAGAAAAGACAGGCAAGGAAGACAGGCTATTTTGGGCAGTAGGGAGAAAAGGAAAAAAAAAACTACAGGTGATGCGGCAGCATGGTATAAAATCAGTATTGGGGACTAGAAGTAATTCACTATACACAGAACAGGAAGGAAAAGGGGATATCTGTGTGCACACAGATGTGTCCCTGCATATAGTTGTTACTGTAGTGGAATGAATGGCTGTGACCAGAGTTTAGCCATAAGAAAGAAAACCAGCCTAAGCCAGTACTGTATGGGTGGCCACGTACAACATAATAAAGTACACATTAAAAACTACTTAACAGTGAATGATCTGAAGTATATTAACTAAAATCAGAGAAAAAGCAACTGTATTTGTCAATCTGAAAAATTTTAAACCCTGCATCAAGACAGAATTCACAGATAAAACTATTAACAAAGAAGAGACAAAACTGTTAGTATTTATAGAGGCCAGGTCTGCAGAAGAATATTTGAGGGCACATTACCCCAAAGTTGATGGTACTAGGAGGTGGGGTCTTGGGCCAGGATGGTAGAGTCCTAATGAAAGGAATTAGCGTTCCTAGGAAAGGGAACCTAGAGTACTTCCCACTTTCCACCATGTGAAAATGTACAGACAAGGCATCCTCTGAAAACTAGAAAGAAGACCCTCATCATACCTAATTTACCAGCACCTTGGAACTGTCAAAAGTAAATTTCAATTGTTTGAAAGCTACCTAGCTCATGATATTTTATTATAGCAGCTTCAAGGAACTAAGACAAATCTTACTTATGAGCTGAAAAATAAAGCTTAGATATAAGCTTATCAAAAAATATAAAATACCTGAACAATAAAAACTAAAGAATAAAAGGCAACATAAAGAGACATTCCATGTTCATGGACTGAAAGATTTAATATTAAGGTATCAATGCTACCTAATATGATCAACAGAATCAATATGATTACTATCAAAATCCAAATGCTATTTTTGCATAAACAGTAAGAAACAATTCTAAAATTCATACAGAACCATAAAGGTCTCTCAATTGCCAAAACAATCTTGAGAAGAGCAAAGTTAAAGTCATACTTCGTAACTTAACAGTACATTCTAAAGCAACAATAATTTAAACGATATGCTCCTGGTTCAATGATAAAGATCAATGGATCAGAATATGGAGCTGAGAAATAAAATTATGCAAATGCAGTCAAATGATCTTCCACAAGAATGTCACAACTGTGTAATGCAAAAAAGATAGTCTCTTCAACAAATAGTGCAGGAAAAACTTGGTATCGACACACCAAAAGTGAACTGTGAGCCTTATTTTACATCACAAATAAAAAGATTTAGCTATACAGATTTAATGCAATCCCTATCAAACTACCACCAACATACCTCACAGACATAGAGAAATCATTTCTAAAATTTATTTGGAACCAGAAAAGACCTAGCATAGCAAACACAATTTTGGGAAACAAAGACAAAGCAGGAGACATTAAATTCCTGACTTGAAATTATACTACAAAGCTACTGTGATAAAATCAGCATGGTACTGGAAAGAAAATAGACCTGAGGATCAATGGAATAGATTAGAAGATGCAGAGGCCTCTACGAACACACTCAGTCACCTGAGCTTCAACAAAGGTGCCAAACACGCTTACTGGAAGAAAGATACCCTCTTTAACAAATGGTGCTGGAAAAACTGGCTCGCTACATGCCGAAAACTCAAACTTGACCCAGGTCTATCACCATGCACTAAGCTAAAGTCAAAGTGGATTAAAGATCTAAACATTAAAACAGAAACACTAAATCTCCTGGAAGAGAAAGTAGGAGGAACTCTTGAAGATATAGGGGTAGGCAAAGAGTTCATGAACAAAAAATCAAATCACATGTGTAACACTTGAAAGAATTAACAACTGGGACCAACTCTTACTGAGAAATTTTTGCACATCAAAAGAAATTACCAACAAAGTGAAAAGACAACCCACAAATTTGGAAAAAACCTTGACTAATAAGCACTCAGACAAAGGTCTACTCTCTAGAATTTATAAAGAACTAAAAAACATTAGGGCCCCACAATTTAAAGACCTATTCCAGAAATGGGTATCAGAGACAAACACACACTTCTCAGAGGATGAAATGAAAGAAGCAAATAAATATATAAAAAATGCTCCACATTTCTACCATCCGTGAAATGCAAATTAAAACAACACTGAGATACCATCTCACCCCACAAAGAATGGCTATCATAAAGAAACCAACCAAAAACAAATGTTGGAGGGGCTGTGGGGAAAAAGGAACCCTTCTCCACTGCTGGTGGGAATGCAGACTGGTACAACTGTTATGGAAATCTGTGTGGAGACTCCTTAAAAATCTAGAACTGGAAATCCCATTCAAATCAGCTATCCCCCTACTGGGAATTTTCCCGGAGGAACTGAAAACATCATATCATAGTGATATATGCGTATCTATAAACACAGCTGCACAATTTGTGATAGCAAAATCTTGGAAACAACCAAAATGCCCATCACCTGAGGAATGGATGAAAAAGATGTGGTATTTTTCTACAATGGAGTATTACTCAGCTATAAAGAATGATAAACTCAAAGCCTTTATATTGAAGTGGATGCCACTTGAAGATATACTCGTAAGTGAAATAAACCAGACCCACATGTGTAAATATCATATAGTCTTCCTAGTGGAAGAACTAAAAAGAAGAAACAAAAATAGAAAGGTATAACACAATTAAAAGGAAAGCAAGAACTTGATTAGACAACGAAGAAAGAACAGGAGAAAAGCTAGGAAAAATGACAGGGGCAAAACTATACACTTATATGCACAAATGGGTAAGGCAATGATCCTGAGAATCTTCAGCAGATTTTTGAAACTAGCAGTTAATTGGTAGGATTCTCACCCTAACTATACATGCTGATACCTGTGAACTAAGCAACTGCACTGAAGATAGCAATGTGTAATACTAAGGTCATGCTTGGAATACCTGCCATTCTGGTCTTCTAAATACATACTGCTTCTAATCTCATATCAATTACAGCTATATTGTCAAGTAAATGTTTGTTTTTAAAAAAAGGGTAATAAATGAAAACAAGAGACAAGGAAAAAAACTATAGTACTATCCTGCTACAATGCTTTATATGGTTAGATTTCTAAATTTCTGTGTAAAAATATGTAATTGTTAATTCGTATTTTTAATTTTTTTCTTCATATTCTGTAGGGATTTAAAGTTTAACATATCAATATTTGATGGAAAATACCTGTTTCATGTTATGTCTGAGACGTTTGATATTCAGACAGATAGTGAGGTTAAGGTCAACTGCCTATGTTATAGGGCAACAATATCATTAAGCTTCTCTTCTGGAGGGTTAACAACTTAAGTTTGCATACTAAAAATTAGTGAAAAGCAGGGCTGCAAGGACAGCCAACAATTTGGCCATAGCCATCCAAGGTCAGTGAGTACTTAGGACATAACAGAACCTGTACTGTAACATCCTGTCACTCAGTGGTGTCCCAAATTCTCTGATCAAGGAGATTATGGGGCCACAGAGGAAAGTGATCCACGATGTACAGTGTGTCCAAAGAGAGTCACATGGAGAGAAACATTCTCTCAGGCTTTCACAGAGAGCAAATGGGTCAAGCAATGGCCATGACTCATCCACATGGATGACACTAACAAAGGATCTACCAATTGCAGTACAGGATTTCAGGGTAAATCCTGAGGGGATCTGGCTGACCTTGTCAGATATAGAAGTTACATTTCTTGTTATACTAGTCTTGCTTTATCTTGGTCTTAACCATCCAGCAGAAAAGTATAAAAACAAGGTATAAAAAGTAAAGTCATATTAACATGCTGAGCTGTAAAAGGCTCAAGTCAACAACTTCTGACATTGCCACACCTAAATTTAATCCACTACTATTATGGACTACTGGATTATATTGGATTATTTGGCGAATTCATATACCTACAATATTTAAATGGCAATGGAATACCCATCTCTGACAAAACTAAAGGGGATACAAATGAAGGACCGACCATTTTGTATCCGTATATACAACATAGGATAGATATACAGCTACTTTCTCTGAATTCAATGAGAAGAAAAATCTGTACTAATAGTGTTTGGACAGGGTATCATGTCTGCATCTTGTACTATGAATAACTACTACCAAAACAACAATATACAATGTATTAATTATTGTTAACTGTCCTACTAATCGGTTTTGAAACTGTCTCATTGCTATTTTTTCTCAATAAAATTAATTTAAAATTTTAAAAAGAAAATATGATATGCATCGCCCACTACTATATGTATATTTCCATCTTATCAGTTAAAATTAAATGAATAAGAAAATGTAATAAAATAGCTAACATTTTGATATAAAATAATAGAGGAAGTGGTGCTCTACTAAGAGTTAAAAGTTTTATAACATTTCTCTAATTAAAGCCATATGGTATTAGTGGTAGAATGACAACAGAGGAAAAAAATTAAAATCTAAAAGCCCAAGTATTTACATACTCAGCTTAACTGTCATTTGTGAGAAATGAATGGACTGCTGAGGAAGAGCTGAGACAACAGGCTTACTAGCTAGAAAACAATATGCAGTCTTATGCACTGAAATGAACGCAAGATAAAGCTATACACTGAATTAAGAACATGTAAGGATTTTAGATTGGGAGAAAAAAATGAACAGTTTTTTTAACTTTCACTAGACTTTGTTCTGTCTTCACTGACATTCAAGTTACATGAAGCCTCCAAACACAAGTTTCTAGATGAATATAGAAGAACATACTCCAATGGCAAAAAATAAAATATGCTGTCTTACATTTCTACTAAAGCTCTACCTTCTTGTATTTTCTTCTAGTCATAAATACAAATGAAAACTGATCAGAAAAGTAGTAGCATGATATTATTATAGAAACAGCAAAAGATTTTAGCATCTCAAGAGTTGGCAGAAATCGAGTTTTGTAAACACAAATGGCAAAATGAGTCATGCTTCAGTGACATGCTATAACTCTGCTACAAGAATGGTATTTTCAAAGAACATATATTAACTTGAAGTAGATCCATTCATTCAGTCACTCAACAAATATGGTATTGGGTCACAGACTACATAATGAAGACAATAAACAAACGAACACATAGCAAGGAAGATAAGATCCTTGCTACCAAGTTTACAGTCAAGTGAGAAAGTTTAATAGTCATGACATACTTGGTACAAAAAGCATAAGGACATATGTAAGTATACAGCTAGGGGATCTATCCACTCTACCTTAGAGCAGGTTTTGTAGAAAAAGTGCTATTTAACCTCATATGTGAAAGATATATCAAAATTAACATAGCTACAGTTCCGCGTGAAGATATAAGCAGACTGAAAACAGTCTATGAAAAGCCCTGTGAGAGATAATACTGGAGAGGACAGAGAGTCAGGTGAAGTGTGAAGGAAGATACACAAAACTGCTGTGTACTAAAGACATATGCATCAACAAGGATAAGGCTGGAGGTACAGAGAAGAAAATAGTACTGCCACATGCTGATTATAGTAACTATATAACAGTTCACTGATGATGAAGAATAACTGAACTAAGATTTTAGGGCTGGATTTTAAGTTAGGATTAACTCGCACTGCAAAGCAAAACAAAAACCAAACAAAGAAGCACTACCATTTATTAGGATTATTTTAAATTCTTTGGTCTTTATTAAAATCCTAGAAAGGTCTATTATAACAAAAAAAATTAATCATTTTGGAAAAGGTTGATAATACAGGACAACTATGCTAACATATGAACAGGAAGGTTTGTGATTGTACTTGTCAGCTGTAGCTCACTGTCAGGCCACCAGATGCAAGAATGCTAAGACTGAACTGGGCGACAGAGCAATGGTTGCAAAAACCGACTGCCACCAGGAGGATGGAAACAAAGCCCACACAAGGCGGGTAAGCTGTTCACTAGCCGCTGTGTTGCTGCTGCTCTTGTTGGCAATGACAACAGTCAATGCAAATCAACTCTAATGCTTTTCCCCAAGGAGCTTACTCCCAATTGCAGAATCCTTCTCAACATAATATTTCAAGCAACCACACACAATTGTAAGGATTCACTACTTGAAACCTTCACTATCACTTTTGCCTCAGAATTAAAAATACAAATAATTCTATAATTTTTAAAGTTTTTATAAAATTGTCTCTTAAAATTTGTATTTAAAACTTTAAATGTTTTGTTTGCTCACTAGAAACAGAACTATTAAGAAATACAGCATTCTGCAAATACATTTCTTTCTATGTACTAAAAGTGACGTCAGTTACAAATATATCTTTAGATTGATTGTTGCTTTTTTACTGGATGGAAAAAAAAATGTCTCTTACCTTTCCTCTGGAGTATCTACATGAAATGTTCTTTCTATAACAGTGGTCCACTGGAGGCATCTGATAATAAATGTGTTTGGCTTTGGTCGTTCTGTTTTCATTAACTGGCATTCTAGAAATAAAATTATCTCTTTAAATATATATATTTTTAAATCATAAAGTAAATAGTTGAGAACTACAGAATTCTATTGTAAACAAAACACAGCAACTACCTCACGGTTTTCTATGGCTCTCCACTCAAGGTCATATACAATCTGATCTTAATATTCTTTTCCAATTCAGTCATTCTGTTCTGTTCAACCAAGTAAACTGCGTAATTTATTCCCCCTTGTCTTCTATGTACACCTTAGTTACAGTTGTTCTTACTCCCTTTAACATCTTGTATTCATTTCAGCTTACCCATATGCAATCTTAAAACGATAAAAGTAAGACCCATCCTTTAAGGTTCATACTAAATCTTACTCTTTGTATGAAGCTTTTTATAATACCTGGTTCTAGATTGACCACTTCCTCCCTCATTTTTCATTACTTAAAGTATGGATTCTGATATCAGAGTGCCTGGATTTTGGTGGGGGGGGGTCCTACCAATAATTATACAATCTGACAAAATTAATCTCTCTGATCTTCAGCAGTTCAAGGAGAAACTAACAGTTTCCATACCAGAATTGGATAACAATTAATAATGAACTCAGAAATACTTAGCAAAATAGATGACATGTGATAAACATTCCATAAACATCAATATTACCATTGGATGCACAGCTGAATCAGACTTTAAAAGAGAAGTAGCGGTAGACACCAAGAGAAAATTGGGCTGCCTACCGACATTGTGCTTTGGAAATAATCTAATTTACTCCTAGATAGCAAATTAATCAGCACTTACTGGCTTTGTCCATTTTCCAGTATTAACAACTATCAACCTTCCTTTACTATGTCATTAAGGTCCAAGTCCTTACTCACATCGGATTCATTTTTATTGGACTCCTTATTGAACGAGATCATTTACCTGAGGTTCTCTGCTTAGCTTTCTTTTTTATGACAATTTCTCATTGATGATTTTAACTATCACCTTTCAGTTAATCCATATAAAAATGCAAGCTTCTTTCCATCTTGAGTTTCAATTTCAGACATATATGCCAGGGGTTAAGGAGATAGTTTAGTGACAGAACGCATACTTAAGATATACAAAGGGCCTGGGTACCACATCCAGCATTTAAGAAAATAACAAGATACTTGTCTAAATATACAGTGGCTATTTCTACTTTGTTGAATTACTAGAACCATACCTTAAACCAAATTCAGAATCTTTCCCCTTAAATCCATTTCTCCTCCTGGCTTTTCTAATTTTTCAATCCCTGAGACTAGAACATAGAGTGATCCTCCTTTTTCACCATAGTAAGACCTCTCTTTGTTTAGTTTCCCCAGTGAGGTAATTCTACTTCAAATTTTCAGCACTCAATGCTTATGTTCCCCCAGCTGTCACAGCAGAATTTTCCTACCCAGAGATGTTGACAGGCTGCCTAAGTTACTTAAAGATAGGGATTGCATTCTGAGTGACATCTGGAGAAGCCCCACAATGAGCTCCCAGTCTTTCTCCCCCATGCTCGCTCTGCCAAGCACTGCCACAGCTTTCTCTATTTCATATGACGACACCTTCATCTTTTCAACTGCTCAAGCTAAAGACCTGGGAATTACTTTGGAGCCTTCACTTACACTTGATATTCCTTCTAGATATCCTGTTGGATCTACTTTCAAAACACTTCCAATTTCTGATCACTTCTCACACTACCACAACCTCAGAATAAATCATTATCTCCCAAAATCTCAGAAGAGCTTTCACACCCCTACTGCAACACAATCACCAGAAATCCTCTTAAAATAAACATTTTCAAAAATCTTCAGTTGTGCTTCAACTCACTGGAAATAGGTAGCAAAGGCTTGAAACAGGCATCACCCGAGCCCAGAGTGTCCGGCGTCCCGTCCTAGCACTCTTCCCAGCCACTCTATCTTCTCTACATTCTTCCACAGTGCACTTCACCTCTTCATCTTAGGGCCCTTTATGAAGTTTGTCCTCTGCCTGGCATTTCTTTTCTGCCCCTCACTTATCACACAGATAACTTCCTCCTTTCCTCAAATGTTAGACCAAAACTAATCTTCACAGTGAAACCGGCATTGGCCATCCTTTTTAATGCTGCAGTTCCCATTTCTTCGGATTATACTTCTCTCACAGGTTCTACTTTTGATTTCCCATAGCACCTTATCACCCGAGACATCTTAATGTTTCTGTAAATTATCTGTTTCCTCAACTAGAATGTAAGCTCAACTGGCCTATCCTTAGTGTCTGACACACAATTTTTCAGCTGATGAATCCTGATAATAAAAATCCAAAGTAATTCTGAGGACACAGTAAAGGAGAAAATACCTTGCTTAGCAAGAAGGGACAAGGTTTATTGGGTAAATGAGGGCTCTAGGCTATACAGTTTAGTGACTGAGCAGCAGGGAACACAGGATAAAATTAGGCACAGATACAATTACAGCTATCAATGCAAGTGGAAACCGTAGAAATTTGTTTTTCAGGGCTAGGTGGTACACCTTTGTGCACGCCTCGGGACTGGAGGTGCAGCTGCTCTTGAGGTCCTCCCTGCGAGGGCGCAGCCAACTGGCCCTCGGTGCGCCAAGAAAACAAAGCTCCAGCTTTTGCACAGCGGCCACTTCGCATTCCGTAGCATCACTGCCGAACGTTGTGTTAAGTAACTTTCTTTGCTTACTGCTTTCCTCTCTTTGTTGTTTCCCGAGGAATGATTCCAAGCTCTCTTCTTGCACGCTTAAATTGAAACTCCCAATCTCCAAGAGTATCATTTCCTTTGCCGCTTAACTACCAACTGAAGTGTACTGCTGTCTGCTTTAACCTCCACCTCAGGCAGCACGACCCTTGTTACCTGCACCAGCCATTCCAAAATCTTGCTGTCACCTTTCTGTCTTAGGTAGGTACCAGAGGGTGTGCCAAAGAATGCCTACAAGAGCGTTATCTTGGTACCCGTACGCTTTCTCCTTCATTACCCCCAGACGTGATAGGTCGCTAGTTGCCTCTCCGTTTTTGTTTGTTTGTTTTTGCGAAACTGGGGATTGAACTCAGGCCCTTGCGCTTGCCAGGAAAATGCTTATTCTACTGAGCTATCTCCCCAGCCCCAAGTTGCCTCTTGATTCAGATACATTATTTTAATCTAAAAAAAAAAAAAAAAAAAAGAAATTTGTTTTTCATTGTTTCTATTATTTTCTCCAATAAAACAGGATTTGAAGCCATCAGTTTAAAATACAGTTGAAAGGGGGATGCACTGGAACTTTTGACAGAAGATATCAAATATAGCTCTAATAAAATAAAAGAACATACAGGTAAGGTAAACATATCCTGACTGAAGGCCCACTTGAATTTAATGGACAAAAATTAAAAATAATACTGAAGGGCATGGCTGTGCATTTCTCCTCAGGTATACTTGGTTGTATGGGTGCAGCTGAGGAACACGAGGAACAGGGTTTAAGCCAGGGTATATTTTACACAAGTTAGGTTTGTCAGAGGAAAAAGGTGGCGAGGAGGAGAGGACGCAAGGCAAGACAGTGATTCAAATAATCAACTAAGAAATTTAAAATATTTTTGGAGCACATGAATGAGTAAAGAAAATGCAGCATTATACATAATAAAGTACTACTCTGCTATAAAGAATTTTGAGTCATTTGTAGGAAAATGTGTATGCCATGAGATCATGTTGCTAAATGAAATAAATGAGACACACAAGTTTATGACCTGGTTTCTCTTATGAGAAACCCAAAATGTAAATAAGCAGTAAGATAAAAGACAGATAATAGGATCTTTTATAAACGAAAAGGGAACCAAGAGATGAAAGGGGAGGTGAAGTGAATGAAAAAAACTAAGATGTTTTGGATATACATACTGACTCCCATGAGGACTGTAACAGTTACGTACTAGAAACATGTACTAATAAAAAATAATCTTAAAAATGTGTTTGGCGGGAAGAGAGAATCTGGTAGTGTGCAAAGGAAAAGATAAAGGAAAAGATCATAAAGATAAATCATATCATAGCTAAACTTTGTACAACATAGCTTTTAGGCTATTAAAACTGCTTAGTATACCAACTTAACTTGATACATTAAAGTTTTAAAATACTAATGACATTATACCAATTTACACCAATAAAGGGTCTAATTTCCTGTTTTATTGTGCCCAGCAGTCTTACTTTAGTCTCTGTGATTTTCCTCTTTATAAAACTCCTACTAAAATTCTAGGCAGTTCACTTCTCTGTCCTGTATCTGTTTAATAAATGTTATTTTGATCTAGCTAGATGAACCACTTAACTTAAAAGTTTAGAATTATGTACACAATTCAACAGCACTTGAGGCAGTAACACAAGAGCAAAAATAAATAAAAAATGAATTAGTGACTGAGTGGCTTTTAATGTAAAGAAGAGAGACAGACACATGAGCAGCTAGCCTGACATATAATCCAGAAGACACTAACTATGAAGAAGAGGATGGAAGAAAGAGCAGAAAAGCCAAAAAAGGGCGTTCGGCTTAGTACTCACCTAGTTTGGTTTTACTCAAGTTCCCACTGTGGTGATACTGGGGTGATTAAGATAGCAGAGACAGTAGATTTTGAAATTAGAAAGCCAGACTCAAATACAGTGTATATCATACATGACAGCAGTATGTCTTAGTCAAAGTACTAGACATCTCTAAACCCTTAAGTTATTTATCTTTAAAAGCACTACCAGGGCTAAGGAGACAGCTCAGCAGTCTAAGTGTCTGCCTGGTAAGTTTAAAAACCTGGGTTTGATCCCCAGTACCGCATGCCGTGCAGGCCCTGGAACCCTGGACATGCAGTGCCAGCCACAAAAGTGGGCACAGTGGCACACACCTGTAATCCCACAACTGGGGAGGTGGAGGACCACTACAAGTCCAAGCTGCTTAGTGAGACTCTGTACCAAATAAATAAATAAATAAATAAATAAATGTAAGCAGTATCAGAAAATAAAAAACTTCAAAAGAAATATATTTTCAGAACCGTACATAAATGAACTTCGAATGCTATAACTTAAA